CCCCCACACCCCCACCCCCACACCCACACCCACACCCTATTTTTTTTACAATTAATCAACTTATTAATATATTAAAAAGGTATGATAGAAAAACGGGATGATTAAAGTTTATATATCATAGAAATTTCGAACATTAGTTATTAGTAGATAAACAATCCATTTACAACAAAAATTTCCTTTTACTTCATTATTAAATACGTCATAACATATTATATATTTCTTTGTATATATTCCAGATAGATTATTCTTTTATTGTTCATCATTTTGTAATCATGTATCTCATCCAACATCGCATGAAGGAGAATCATCATATACATAGATTTATTCCAAGACAAGAGAACGAACACTTTCGCAGTAAAATATTCAATATTTATTTAGAACTTCACGATATGATTATATGAACGGTTCAAGGCAGATATCAAAAATAAGAGATGCACATCCCTTCAATATTATCCAATACTCTAACAGATACCTTTTTATACACTTCGAACCTTGGCATCCTCGAACGAGATCTGGATAAAGACGCACAGATGATTTCATCACTTTATGAAAAGCTCTTACTATTTGAAATCTTCCAAGTTTTATATGAATTTTGATTAATGATAAGTCATTATATGTGTTATAGATTTCTCGATTTCAATTGTTAACATAGATTATCCAACTATTATACAACAGTTTAGCAGAGATATTTACGAATTGTGTTTATTGATGATTTCTAGACTGGTCAACATATTAATAAGATGAGTTGAGGGTGAATAAAGATCAGTCAGTTTATTAAATATAATGATGAACACGAATGAGAAGAATAACAATCGATAAGAAATGAATGACGAAACGAGAACAACTAGAGACATGTGACAAACTAATTCACTGAATGAAACGTTCAAGAAGTATAACTATGAATAAAAATAACTGAGTGTAACGTAACTAATACGATAAATCGACGGTACAAAAAACAAAAATGACATACGAATAAATATAAGACACAATAAGAAGAAAGACAGAACATAGGTGATAAACAGTACCGTCAGAGAGGAGTCGAGCAGATAACTAGTGATAGAACGGTGACCATCGATCGGTACTTCACTGTTGCCATTACATTATTATAGGTGACCCGTTCCCCGCAAAAAATTTCCCGTTTCTCTCCAGTGATGTTCGTGCATTTTATTGTTTTTTATTTCTTACCAATTCCCTTCAAAAACTCCCATCTATCGCTGTTCAATTCTGACATTGTTATATATAATGAATTTTCCTTGATAGAACGTTGATATCATTTAGAATTTCAAGTGTTTTTATATTTACTATAAAAAAAATCAAGAATTTATATTTTATTTAGATGTGAATCTACATTAAAAAGTCCAACATTTGAAGATGTAATTGATGAATTTTCTCGTGAAAAAGTTTATGGTCATATTCAACCAAAATGATAATCGAAATGAGATTATTTTTGTTCATATTTATGAGTAAAATATATTTATTGAATTTGTTTTATTTCTTTGTTTGTTAATATTGTATTGATTATGATTACGTATCGAAAAAAGTTGATATTATATTATTTTAAAAAATGTTAATGCCACCAAAAAATAAAAAAATCATGTCAGTTCATATAAAACTTCTTCGTTTAGGTGAAGATGTTAAATACGAATGATCGAAAGAAACTGTTGAACAATATATTGAATATCAACGACCATCAACATCGAATTCAGTTCAATTTACATATGAATCCCGTCATCATCCTGTAACATATGCAACGTTTAGTTTCAAATATGAATTAAAAGTATCTTTATGATTATCAAAATAAAAAAAAGACTTGTTGACTTCATGTAAAAGAAAAAGGAAAGAACTTATTTTTCTTGTTCATACACCTTTGCATGTACCCTCATAACTAGATCAATCAATCTACTTAATTTTGTTTGTGATAACGATGATCTTTCTTTTTTTTTTCTTTGTCTTCTAGATTTTCAAAATGATAAGAATGAAAATTTTCGCTTTTAGAAAAATTTATTTGAAATTGATTTCCTTATAGGGGGATATCAACGTTCAACTGGTCAACGACGTGCTCATGGGACAGGAGATAAACAAATAAGATAAATAAATCGATTAATTCGATAAATAAATATTTATTTATTGTAGAAAAAAAACAATATGAACCACATGTTCCAACACGTATAGGAAACACGAAAAAAAACCTAGAAAAGGATCTGAAGCAGATAATAAATTAGCAGAAGTTTTACCATATAGACGTTGTCGTTTGAAACAATTATGTTTTCAACGTATTAAAGATAATTTATTATTAGAAGAAGAATTTATTAAAAATCAACAAAGTTTAAAAGCACAAGAAGATCGTCATGATGTATAATTATTTCGTTTAAATATTAGAAAAACAACTATTATTTATTATTTTAGGAAGAACGTTGAAAAGTCGATGATACTCGGTATGATTTTATTTTTTTTTAATGTTTCAATCAAAATAAGAAAATCAGTAAAAAAACAATAATAATCAACGAGATTTTTCTATTGTTATTCTTATAAAAAATTAGATAGTGTATCTTTTTTTTTGTAAAAAATAAATAGAATGTTAAGATTCCTTCTAATAGATTTTAGAGGAAAATCTTGTTTATATTTGCTAGGGCTTCTATAATTAATCATTCCTTGTTTGTTTTTATTTCAGAACATCACCAATGGTTGTTGATACTTTAGAAGAAATTATTGATGATTAATCGTCCTATTCTCTCAACATTATCTTACTATAATGTCTCAAGTTGATAAAGATCAACTTGAACTTGGATGTAGAGTTTTATTAAATCATTAAGTAAATAATTTAATCTTTTCATTTAGATAAAACAAGAGCTAATCTAATCCTTTAGATACATGCTCTTATTGAGGTATTAGGTGACGATGTTAGTGTGTGGGTGTGGGTGGGTGTGGGTGTGGGTGGGTGTGGGTGTGGGTGTGGGTGTGGGTGTGTAGGTGTGGGTGTGTGTGGGTGTGGGTGTGGGGGAGTGTGGGTGTGTGTAGGTGCTGGTAAATAAGATATTCACCCACACACACATTCACACCTACACCCACACTCTCATACCCACACCCACCCACCCACACCCACAGCCACACCCACACCCAATTTCAAGTCATTTTGTCGTATAAATAGAAAAAAATGTAGCTTGGAGATGAATACATTAAAAGTACTGAATAAGGACTTATAAAACACTGCTTTTCTGAATTAAAGAACATTGCAAATATATGTATTTCCATCTATTCTATGAAACGTGCCAATAATTCAAAGTAATTACCATTTCGATTTAATTAATTCTTGTCAAAAAATTAAGAAAGTTATTGAAGTTGAAAGTTATAACTACAGTTGATAGTTATAACTAGGATTGAAAGTTATAACTGCAGTTGAAGGTTATAACTGTGGTTGAAGGTTATAATTGAAGTTAAAGGATATGATTGTGATTGATAGTTATAACTGAATTAACTTTTTCACCGAAAAGTTGATCGGTTATAACTTAAAAGTTATAACTCGAGTTATAACTCGGCTAGTTTTAAATCCCACAGTGATTTGATGATTTAGGTGCTCATTCACCTGGCTAAGTTGGTTTGGTACAACGTGTTGTTATAGCATAGACATTAAAAAAACAGTTTTGTTTTAGTTTAAACAGAATATGACAGCATGGTACTTGAGAAGTTTATACAATAAAGATTTTACCATAACATGTTCTATTCACTTCTCCATGAAATAAATTATTTTATCTCGCTTGATGAAGCATGAGGCAGGTGATGGAAGAATATGTAAATGAAGTTAGGATGCCTGTGATACAACGAAAGGATTTTAATAATGAAACTCATAAGAAGTGTTATGTCATTGATTATACAGTAGAAAATTCTTTATATACCGTCGAATACTGCTTAAATGAGGGTGTAGATTAGCAACTATCACTCTTTAAGTGATTCGTTTATTAGACTACAGTGGATCATGTGAAGACATATATTTTTTTCTCCAACACACTAAAATAAAATGTGTCGCACTAATGTGTCGTTCACGATAGTGTCGCACACACCACTACAAAAATGTGTCGTATTATAGATGTGTCGTGGCCTGTCCGCTAATCATTCATTCACCGTGTTGTTTCGCGTGCACAGCTATATATAACCGACACAGTTGAACAGACTAAACTTACCCATTTTTGTATGCCTTTTCTTCTAGATTATTTCTCGAATAGCCATTATTCGAGCACATGTTCAGAGATCGATAGATGATCCAGAATGGACTGCCTGGAAGCGGTCTGATCGAGATCAAATCGACTCGAGACGGAGAGATCTTAAGATCTACCCGTCTTGAATTGTACGAATAAGTATTACTAATTTATTTTAAGCTGAAAAACAGAATTATTCGCTTCTGTAAAACAAAAAAAAAAGAAAAAAGCGATGAAGAATAGATTCGAACCCACCTGGTCAAAATGTGTCGCATGTGTCGCACTTTTATGTGTCGTGCGATTGCTGGAAGAAATGTGTCGCAACGAGCTCCTCGTGTCGCACTTGAATGTGTCGTACATTGTGTCGCAAAGTACGATACATGCAACACATTTTATCTTAGTGTTAACACCTAGTGTGCAATAACGACACAAGGTGAAATAATGACGGTCGACTGTTTTTCTTTCTCTTCAATGTTCGTCAAACAAAAAACAAAAAATTTACTTATATATAACCACGTGTAATGTAATGTTTTTACCATCAAATGTAAAGGTGAATATTTTTCAGTCGTTTAGAAATAAAGACAGCATACATAGTCAATTTTAATGGAGAAACTTTATCGTATGTTAAAACCTCTGGCTAATCGATATAGTATTTTGTTGATATGGCTGCTGACAGTATTCAACTTTCATCTTTGTATGAAACCATTACAAGAATATGCAGCATCTATCGGTTTGAATAAAATGCCAACTATTCTTGATACTATGACTTATTACACACCAGAAGAAGGTTATCAAACTCTTTCAAATTTGGGAGAAAATGGTCGTCATGCCTATCGACTAACAAATTACGCCGAGTTTGTTTTCCCAGTTTTACTATTTCTTTCATTATCTTTGTCCAATTTGGCTATGGGAAAAAGACATCAGTATATAGTCGGACCATTTCTGTATATGATTTTTGAGTATGTTGAAAATCTCGCAGAAAAATATGTACTGGAAATTTATCCAAATCGACATGACTCAGTAATGAAATTAGCTTGTTATGCTGGGTTGATGAAGTTTGTTTTTATGTCTACAAGTTTTTTAATATTGATCGTTAATTGTTTGAAACATCTTTTATATTCAAATAGTCAAAAACAAAAATCTAAATAAAGTCTTATGTCGTTTTATTGATTTGAAATTTCAATTCGGATAGAATTAGTGATACGATATGTCGACATGAGAGCTTATAAATTGAATGCGAGTTTTTTAGAGAATGATATTCTGTATCGAATAGCATGTCTTTCGCATTTTTGAAAAAGATTTCTTTCTACATTAAAATCTAACTTTTTGAGAAGATCAATATCAAATTCGTAATCAGCGTTAAAAACTGCGTCTAGTGACCCATCCAGATGGACCCGACTTAAAAGCCAATATTTAGAAATTTAATCAAAACGTCTGCTCCAGACTACACAGTTATACAGATTATTCTCTATTCTGCCTACGACGGCTTACACTTTGGCAGGCTTTTGTTATATAACTATTTATACATGACAAGATCTTTCGTAGTCGAGTAGTTGTACCAAAGCGTTTTTAGTGAAATATTTATTAGAGATTAATAGATAGATTATATACATAAATGAGATCTGCTGGGTATGGGTATAGGTGTGGGTGTGGGTGTGGGTGTGGGTGTGGGTGTGGGTGTGGGTGGGTGTGGGTAGGTGGGTGGGTGTGGGTAGGTGGGTGGGTGTGGGTGTGGGTGTGGGGTGTGTTGGTGTGGAGTGTGGGTGTGGATGGGTGTGTGGGTGTGGGTAGGTGTGAGTATCGGTCAAGAGATCCACTGCAGCCACACCCCACACCCACACTCCACATCCACACACCCACACTCACACCCACCCACACCCACACCTATACCCACACCCACACCCCCACCCCCACCCCCACCCCACACCCACACTCCACATCCACACACCCACACCCACACCTATACCCATACCCCACACCCACCCCCACCCACCCACACCCACACCCACGCACACCCACACCTACACCCACACCCGCACCCAGCGAACAGAAACACAGGCACCCACACCCATATCCATACCCAGATGCACGCCAACACCCACACTTACATCCACACCCACATCCACACACCCACACCCACATGCACATCCACACCCTCAAGACGTTGTCTCAGGCAGTTGACATGATTGTGAATTTTTTAATACAATGGTGTTGGTTATCGGCGACATATAGATTACCGCTCTGATCGAAGGACAAACCCATGGGGTATGATAGTTCGGCTTCTTCACCAATAATGACACTTCCACTAGTGGCTCCTGGGGGCCAACGCACGACTCTGTCATTCCCTGAATCAGTCACATACACAGTGCCAGATTGATCGACAACTACTCCAAACGGATAACTTAATTGGTTTTGACCTGATCCTTTTTTGTTACCACCAGCCACGACACTCCCTTGGCGTGCACCTTTGACCCATTTCATCACGCGATGATTGCGATTGTCAGACACGTACACTGATTGATCTTGATCGACGAATACCTGTGTAGGAGTATCAAGTAGTTCCAAACTTTTTCCACGCTTATTGCCACCTGCAACTACTGTCATTCCTTTTTGAAATCGCTTCACTTGATGCCTACGGCTGTCAGTGACATAGAGGGATCCATTCTCCCCCATTGTCAAACCCATACATTGGATATTTGAGATGATCGTTGTTCCTTTTGTTGTTTTTTGGCGATGGCGTCGAACGACTCTCTCGTTACCTTGATCGCAAATGATCAGACTATCGTTGTCTTTGTCGATAATCACAGCTGTTGGGTTATGTAATTGTTCATCACCATTTCCGCACCCTTTTTCACCAGCAATTACTCGACCAGTGGTCACACCCGATTCCCATGCCACAATACGATGATTGGAGTAGTCAACGACATAGACTGTTTCATTAACATCGTTGTCCACATATAATCCCCACGGAAATTTGAGTTGCTTGTTTCGTTCGTCGTTAATGCCACCACAAGAAATATTGATACCATCCTGGTTCCATTGTGCATCTGAAGATATAGTAATGGCAATGCGCCCTTGGCTTTGAACTAGAAAAGAATGGTAGACCATACTTCATGGAAATATTAAGAAAATAGATGAATATTGTTCTTTTTCTGGATAGATGTGTGTATGTGCGTTTTGTTAGTGCATACGGAAATTGAAATCTAATTTCTTTTCATATTTGAT